TAACAAACCCAGTATATTGTTTGATCTCGAATTGTAGGAGGAGTACGGGTGTATATTATTAGACGTAGAAAACGAGAGGAGGGCGACGCCTTGGCACAATACAACTTCGGGTATTTATATATTTACATGTACCTAGTGACCTTCTTCGACCGGCAACGTGATACCCACCCAACAACGTCCACGTGCCTGCAGTCAAATCATAGTCTTGACGCTGAATTTTTTAAAAGGTCCCAGCAGAGAATTGCTTTTGTACCGTGACAACAGTTGTCCCCCTTTGTCACAACAGTGCGACGGCTGAAATCCGTCTTAAATCTTGATTAAAGTTGGCTACGTGATGACTTTTGATTACATATTGACATAGTTGCGAGAAAGATTGCCTTGTAATTTTTAGTTTTTTAATCGATTACTTTTTTTATTATAAAAGGTAGAATTATGTAACATATTTTGTAAATAACAACGGTGCACCACCACAATCATTTTACATAAATATAATATAATAATAACGTAATTATTAGGTAGTTTTTAATCTTTTAAAAATATGAAAGGCGATGATTTTACAAAAAAAATAAAATAAAATAAAACCTTCGGCTTGTAGGGAAAAATTGCTGCAGTGCCGTACATAATTGAAGATTGTCATTCCTTGGCTTTTTATACAGAACATGTGGGAGAATTGTGCTTAAGCATGGCATTTGGGTCCCCTGTTCCGATTTGTGGAGGAAACATGCCTGTTCTATTGTATGTAGTACTGAAGTATCTCATTTTGTGGTAAGTTTTGTGTATATTGAGAGTGAATGTTTTTTATTTATGTGAATGTGAATGACGTGATTGGAATAGGTGGAGTTGAGTACCACCATCGACCCTCAATTACATTAGTTATATGGTATGTGTCAAGGGTGATGGAGGATATATATATGCGTTTGCAGAGCTGAACATAAATAAATCAGTCAGTAACATTTCATTTTCAGTTGTACATTTTTTTAAAATATTTCTTTAAGCCAGGTTTTAAAACGTGAAAAAAACTAAATGATAAATTGCTTGATTTTTCTCGAGTTCTGAAGTATGACGAACCTATTTGTCGTTTTTTTTTAATCGTTCTGGATTCACATAGCTGTTTGACTTTCAGGTGGGGATTTGTCGTCTTACCTCGCTCTGCTTATATTTCAAATTGTCAACTGAAGAAAGTGATGTTGCACCGGCAGCCAGTCTGTTCTCACTGTCACTGGTTTGTCAGGGATGTAAGTAGGGAGAGGCAAGACAACAAGCCATCTTTTGTTGTTAGAAATTAAACGAATATCAGTGCTTAGCTTCGAGCGTATTAAAATACAAATGTCAGTACTTATGTTTGTTTAGAGCAGCCATTAGTGGTTGTGCAGTGGGTCAGATGCGTTCCGGCAGTTGGTCATCTTCAGTGGTGGATTTGTTGTTTTACCTTACCCTGTTTATAACCCTGACCAACCGAATAATAATAACATTTAATTTTATCTATGGCTTGCACGATGATGAACCGTTTGTTTCTTAACATATTGCCTGCTTATTTTCCATTTTGTTTGTTGTTACATGTTAGATTATATAATGTACATATTTGATACAAATCAACTTTTTCGATGTTTTTTATATCGGAAGGTAAGATTAACTTCAAGTCATTTTATCTATCTATATTATGTTTCCAAGCCAATTCTTAAAACCGATACAGTTATTAATAGTATTGTATCTTTAACAGTAATATAGGACAATCTGTTTTTTTTTATAATCACTCATTTCTTTCTCTCTCTCTCTCTCTCTCTCTCTCTCTCTCAAACAAACACACTATTTTGCTATTTTTCGGCAGGTATGCATTTTTCAATCTCCAAACTCGGGGCTGTTCTTTATAGAGCGAGGTTGCTGAATAAAGCACATTACGTCAAGAGATATGATCGACCGACTGTACATTTCAGATATTTCTCAATCAGGGATATGGTCAAAACCTAGAAATTTAGCACACGGTCAACTTTTCCTGACTTATTTAGGTCCATTCAGGCGTCTAAATTGATAAAATAATAATGTTATTAATAGCTCTTGTAGAAAAAAATAATCGAAAAACAATTTATATTTAGTTTTAAAAGGTTCATTTTGTTCAGCCATAAATTCTATAGTTTATATTTTCTTGTTTTAGATAAATTAATGCAATTTATAGTGTAAAAGTTTGAATTTAATTCAAATTTTCTTGTTTATTTTTTTATAATCCAGCTGAAAAACTGTGTAAATTATTGTATTATCTTTACATTTACGTATTATTAAGAAGTTCATAATTTCTACGTAATCGGATAAATTAATGATTGACGTTGAATTGAAGTTTCCACGGTAGTACTCGATGATGAAGAAGGCTTGCCTTTGGGCATTCCCTCTGCTCTCGGCTGGCACAATAGATTTCCAACTTTCTAGTTTCACCTCATTAGCAATCACCCGACAACACGAGAAGGAAATACAATATTAAAAAAAAAATGAATGAACGATAAGGAATTTGTAGATGAACGGACAAAATGTGTAAAGTTGGCATTCACAGCGGGACCAGTCTTAAAGAGGTGTGGTCGCAAGATGAATATAAATTGATCAATTACACACCGGGGATACTTAAAGGTCTCGACACCTGTACCTCCGTACGGGCTTATAACTAGGTTCGTTCGGGCGAACGCGCGCGGCCCTTTCGTACACGTGTATGACCCCGTGTTGGCTCCGTGTCAACTCGTCTTGTGTTAATTATGTACTGGAGCCTCGGCGTTTAGAGTCTTACCTACACACATCCTTATGACGGAGAGAGAATGTGATCCGACATATCCGATTCGGCAACGGCGTTATGGTAGCCGGGGCAGAGTGCGTGCCCTCCTGGCCCCGTTGTTATTCCATCCTCCACGACCGCTCACCTTTTCCCACTGATTTTCGACGAATGTGGACTTGAAACTGTTACAACACCTGGTGTTGAACTGATCGACACTGATTTACTCACTGGGTCTGTCTATTTTCGATTGTTTACATATCAATCGTAAGCTCGGCTTCACGCCATCTTCAGCGAGCTAACAACAAAAAGGAAAATACCACCACCCTTAACAACCTGCAAAAGTTGACCTTTTATATCATATGACTATAATTCTTATAGTGTTTAAATTACGGAGAACTAACAACTAAACTTGAATGAATATTTTTCGTATCTTGGCTTTATAGTTATTATTATGTGTAAGTTTTATAAACACAGTTCTGCTCAAAATATTCTTTTTTACTTAATTAATTTANGCATATTTTAGCCATGGTACGAATTTTTGTGTGTTCAAATTGGGTTATCGGGAGAAAAGGGCCAGAGGCGACGGTGGGAATCGAACCCACGACCGCGGCGTGAGAGTCTCTCATGCTAACCACTCGGCTACCGCGGTCCCCAAATATATATTTTAAGAATTTTATATTTTCTTTAATTTAGGATTGTTTGGTGTTCACTGATGGTTTACTATTTTGCCTCACCCTACTTATAACCCTTTTCCAGAAGAATACTTTTAACATACCTTGTTTGGTCGTTTACTATCATTTTGGCCTGCATATCTTTGTAGTTTAACCTTGCGAATGACTTCTCGCCATCTTTAGTGATTACACAGGTTTACAAGTAAGATGAGAGAATGCTAAAAATCCGGGAATGCTAAAGACAATGGAAGGACATAAGCACACCGGGGTCCTCAATTCACTACATGTTGCGAGCCCCAAAAAGGAGCCAGTAAGGAGTACAATAAACAACTCTTCCAGTTCGTGGTTTCATTATTAAAAAACGAAAATAGCTAGTTTGGGAATATTAATTAAAATTGTTTTTTGCTTCATTAATGGGATTTTTAAGTTTTTTAAATCATTAGGATCCAAAATGAATCCAAAACGTCCAAAATGATACAAATATATAATGAATATTTTGTACTTTATTTACAGCTGTATGCTTTTCGGTGATAATTTTGTTGTCTTGCTCATCTTGATTAAAGACCTGATCAACATTGACGATAATAAGATGAACGATAAATCGTTCTGTTTTATTTATTATCGCTATATTGGGCTTTCAGACGTGTCAGCTTCTCGCCTTCTTCAATGATTGGCCAGGGTTATTATAAACAGGAAGATGCATCAAAACAACTAACGATGAACATGTAGTCTGGTTTTATCCAATAATTTTGTTCCGTCTTACCTGAGTTGTTCTTCTGTGATAAGTTGTCTTGCTTCGCCTTGTTTAAAGCTTTGACCAACTCATTTTTCAGTTGTGGGCTGGGTTTTTTCTCGTACTACTTATGTTCCAGCGAACTACTTATCCGTAGTTTGGTCGTTTCGTACCGTTCTGGTCTATCTATCTTCGCTATATTGTTCTGCACATGCATTGAAATTAATGGAGAAATTACATTTAATAAACCTAATTTTCTTGGTGGTTCTGAGAACTTACTTTTTCTTTCTTTAAACAAAAAATATTACGGTACAGAATAGTTAACTTTTTAAATGATGCGTTATTACTACCTTAGGTTGTTTGTCATCTGCAAAGACCATTTGCTCATCATTTACAGATTGTTCTTTGCTGCTCGATTATTGAACAGAAATTTCTTCTTGGGTCTAATAAATAATATTGAAAGACATAGAATATCATATTACAATCACTAACTACAAGTATACCTTGTTCTATTTGCTTGCCTGTCTCTGAATGTCTTCTTTGATGATTCTCAGTTCATCTAGAATTTGTTCAATTCTGTTCTTGACTGTAGGCTGAAGTATAATGAGTGGACTGCAATAATCAATCTCTGTATTTTTCAAATGACAACAGCACAACAAAACAGACCTTAGCAGACTCTATACTCGAGCAACTGTCAGTTTTCACACTTTCAGCATCTCCATCATCTGGAGAAGCGATATTTTCATCCCAGAGGCAATATTCACTTTCCTAATGTAAAAAAGTAATATTAATAGTATTAAAATCTATTTAGTATAGGATCATATTGAAATACTGACACCATCAATGCCTTCAGTTTCATATTCGTATCTATCTGAACTGTAATCTCTGTTGGCTCTATCGCAACAGTACTTTATGTAAATAATAGACTCTGCCCTGTCCTAAAATCCCGTTTCAATTAATATAAAAAATATTTTATTCTTTCTTTTACCTATTTACACTATCCAGATTGCCGTCGTAATCGCTTTCAATTTCACCTCCCTCACTCAGTTCACCAGTTATGGTGACTTCTGTACACTAGAAGAATCTTGAATTATATGTTTATGCAAATTGAAATTATTGCGTATATGAATTCGCACATACCACGGTTGAACTGCATTCCTCCAACGTGATTTCATCATGTTCATCCTGGTCTACAATGTAGGTTTGGAGGCTTGTACAGCTTTCCTGACAATGTAAATAATTTGTAATTTTATTTTTGCCTGTGAGATCTAACCTTCAATCTTTATTTAATACTCCAATTAATAGGGCCAATTATGACTACTAAGCACATATAGATTAACTTAATTATTTAATTTTTAATGTTATCAGTGTCAATTCTAAGATAAATTAAGAATGAGATGACTCATCTTATTTACAGAGATTGTTATGTGACCATAATTTTATTATAGTTTTATAAAATTATTCATTGATGTTATGTTTTAATAGCTCCATTGGCCATTATTATTTATTGTCTTTTAAGGCCAGGTCATTTTTTATTCAAAACATTTTGAATAACCAAGGAGATGTCATTCGCGATTTTTCCTTATTTTGAACACATTGCAGTGTGATAATAACCATTTCAACTGGATATTAAAACATCTCACAAAAATTAAATACTAAATTTAGTACCTACAAAACTCAGAATTAAAGACAGAATTTACTTAATATACTTTTATGTGCGATGTTTTGAAATCCAGTTGAAATTTCAAAAAAGTAAATGCGTTAATCCTATCCAATGTTTACCATTAGTTACAACACTCTTGTTTAACACGAGATCCTTTATACATGATTGGCTTAATAAAACCTTAGTTCAATTAATTAATTATTGTCATCGGTGTTATGGTTTATTTATTTTTCCTGGATATTATTGAACTAATAAACAATTACAACCAATGAAGTAGCTCTTGAAGTTATGTTGAAAATTGATCTAGGTTTACCTGAATATAGCACCTTTTTGGTTTGTAAACTTCAACCGATGATAATTAGAAAGGATGAAGGGCTCAGGGCGTCCCTCGATGGATATTGATGATCTTCTAAGCTGAAGAATCAAACCCACCCATTTGCCAGGAGGCGTTGTAAAGTGTCATAAGTCACTGCTAGTGATATTTATCTATTATAAAATCATGTCTTAATTTCATCATATTAAACATTTCATACATATTAAGACTGTAAACTTGATATACATGAACAATATTTACTATGATTTTACTGAGTTTAAATACCTGAGGCTGGTCTAAAGATATTTCGAAATTTCTTTAATTCAATGCATTCGGTTTTTATTTATTTGATATCATTTTACGTTTTGACGTTCAATTCACTATGATTTGGAAATTTTAACCGATTAGGCTTTTGTTTACATGGATAAACCATATCCAGATTCCAGATTGCGAGCAATGTCTTATACCTTTTTAGGCCAAACTTGAAGTCAGAGTTTCTTTTAACCTCTTAACAATTCAAAAATAAATTAATGGCAATAATAATTTATTTTGATTAATTTTTCGAAACGAGTTCTGGAGGAGCGAAGAGGATAAGATCTTTAATCTCGGTGTACTACTTGGCCAATCTCATTGGGGCAATCCGCTCAAACATGCATGCAACTGTTAATCCGCAGTGACGTGCTAACACGCCGAAAGACGTAATTACAAATAATTTCAACTTTCCTCGGTATACCTAAGGCGGACTATTGGAAAGAAATCGGAAATTTTGAACGGCGTGCGTCAAGTCTCACAGGAAATGATTGCAACTCTTACTGCATATTGAATTCTAAGGGAATAACCATTTCCTGTATGTGCAGTTAATAAGTAATTTCTTAATATGAAGCTAAATTTATGGGTTTTATGCTCAAATAAACAAAATTTTTTCCAGACGTGGAAAAGTCTTCGATAAAAGCATTTTGAAAGGAATATTAAACCGTTCAAGCAAACAACTTGCGCATTATAGTAGGTCGTGATAGTGCATAATTACAGTATAATCGATTTAAATTGTATCGACTTTATAAGCATTTTCTCTTCTTTTCGAGAAATTTTGTCGTGAGTTACAGGAAAGGAAACAGTAATCCGACACTGCTGACACTATGTCTACTGATAACTAATCTAAAACCCCTTCCCTTCCTACAAGTTTATTATTGTAATTTTAATCACTCTCTGCTGTAAGCCCCGTCTGAACAGTTGTAGCTCTTACAATAAAATTCTTTTTAAAAAGTAATTTTTATTTGGAGTCCATTTAATTGTGGACCGGTGTCCGAAATTCGAAATTAACAAAAGAGAGTGGAACAGGCACGCCCACGCCTCCTAAAAAAAAGCCCACTTACCGCAGTCATCAATTCCATATTTTATCGTTCCCTAGTCTCACTTGAGTTTTATGTTAGTCCTTTTTTCCTCGGGTGCTAAGGCATGGCGAGGGAATATAACGAGCCGGGATCGAAATAAAGACTAGATGCGGCCTTTTTGAATCTTAAAAGTTTCAAACTTTAAATGTCGTCAAACACCGGCCGTAGGTATATAGATGGTCCAAGTGTAGAAAGTGCATTGATATTAAATGTTTGCTTAACAATTGGCATTTTGCGAGACTTCATTTAATTGGTAAGGAGGATCAGGGTGACATGGTCGTATGCCGAAACGCATCTGGCAGACAAGTTAGCAAAGCTAGGAGGAACAGAATGATCAGTGAAGACCGAACTAAAAATTAGTAGTAAACTAGATGATTTCTGTGGGGTAAAAAACCTAAAAATTGGAAGATCTGATACGATAAACAAACTACAAATAGTATGATGCACGAGTTACTAAAAGAATAGGCAGACCATGTTGAAAGGAACTAACAAATTACCATTTGTTGAGTCCTACGAGGTAATGAACTTGAGAGGATAGGTAGAACAGGATGGACCAAACTAAAAAACCGGTAGTTTTACTAATAATGATTACCATGGTTAAATGACAGTATGGTTTAAAAAGTACTATTAGGCACTTTTGATTTATTGTTGACTCTTACTTCTGCCCCGAAATCGTTCGCGTTTTGTCTACTCGCCATTTTCAGAGGTAGGTTCGTTGTCTTGGTGGTGAGTTAGGGAAGATAACAACCCACCACTGATGATCGTTTCAATCAGTTTTTGAGATCTGCTGCAAATTATAATGGACCTGTAGATAAGTTGATGTTGTCGGATGGGTCCTCGAGATTTTGGTCTATGGCACGGTTATGTTCAGACGTTGGTCGGGGATGCGAGCAGGGTGAGACAACACGCATCTACCATTAGTGATCTCCACGTTTTTTAAATTTGGTGCAAACTACAATAAACCTATAGTTAAGTTGACGCACGCGTCAGATAGGCATATATTTCCTCCAGGTTTTGGTTGAATTCTTGGTCACAGGTGTAATCAGACCAAACACCCTTACATGAGCCCCGATGCAAATCTGTAATTTATTTGAGGTCCATAGTCGGATGTTTGGAGATTTGGTTTGAGGCACGTTTCATCACAGCAGGGATGAATGCAAGGTGAGGCCATGCAGCAGAAATTATCATCAGGCTCGCCAGGTGTTTTAAATGTGCTGGTAACTACGGTGAACCTATAGGATAGTTAATGTTGCTGGTTGAAATGTTGATGATTTGGTCTGTTACACGTTTAAGAGTGCAGTTATGTCAGACTTAGTCAAAAATGCAAGTAGGTAAGACTAGACCTACCACTAGGGATCGTCAGATTTTTGAGGCCCGCAGCTTACTAATAAACCTATAATTCAGTTAATATTCCTGGTCCGATCCTCGAGGTTTCGGTTGAAATATTGCTCAAGGATGAAAGCAGAGTGACAACCTACTATATCTAGCATGGAAGTTGGCAAAAGGTATCTTGATTAAATAGTAGGATAAGCAGATCAAGATGACCTGAACCAAACAATTACAATTATTTCTATCTACCAAACCTTTTCCTATATTCAAGAGAGTTATGTCAACAGTTACCACTGCCACATTATAAAGATACCAACAACTTTCTGATGGCACAGTAAAAACAAGTCCTGGAACCAAATATTACTGACACTAATTTAAAAAAAATATTAGTTAAAAATTAAGGACTGTTTAAATTGAATATTGCATATAAATGATTATTTGGAGATCGTGAGATGCGGTCTGGTGTGACGTAGGTTTTAGAAAAACATTTTCTTTATCGTGCCAACGTTTCGATTTTTCGTCACACAAGACCGCATCTCACGATCTCCAAATAATCATTAACTAACAGTCACTAAACACCACACATTGCATACAAAGCATATTATTTTTTATACACAGCTTTAAATTAAAAAAATCTTAAATAATTGAAATGAACAACTGAATTTCAATACGTTAAAGAATAAAATGTTGACCATAGCTATACTATATTTATTTAATTACAGTAAGTTATCTACCTTTTTTATATTATTTTGTTTTTCTATTTCCCCTAGATGATTCTTTTTGTCTTCTTTTATTTTTATCTACAACTGTATATGTATTATTCAGCAGATTGGATTTCAATTTATGATTGTGGCATTACGGGCGTTATAGAGAAAGCTACCCATTAGTAGCCGCTCTGGATTAATACAATAGTACATCCAAATAGGTTTGAGTAAGTATGTGTGTGTGTTGAAAGTTCTGATTTTAATGGTAATTTTGATTGTCGGTTGAGTAGGCAATAAAACATTTTAAATCGTTCTTGATTTGGAACTGGCCTTCGATCGAGTCTGGCACTCGGGCTTGCTTTGGAAACTGAGGAACATCCTCCCTCATACTGAGATCTTATCTGACGGATCGATTTTGTCGAGTCCGTCAGGGAACTGAATTCTCACCTTATATACGCATGAGGGCGGGGGTTCCTCAGGGAAGCATACTTGGCCCTTTTCTATTTTCCATATACACTGCAGATATTCCTACACATGTTAACATTTCGACACACACATTCGCTGATGATACAGCGATTCTTACACGCAATTCGGACCCCAAAATTAACAACAGTAATCTATTCGTACGAAATTTATCACTTCCAACCCAACCTGAAATCCTCCCAGAAGATTGAAGCGAAAGTGGCAACTTCTCTTACAGAGCCTCAAATGATAATTCAACATATACGAACATATTTACTTAATACATCACTTGTAGTTGTAAATACAAAATAAATGT